AGTTGCTGAGGCTCTAACCTCAAATTTTTTTTTTTTTTAAATATTTATTTATTTATTTATTTTTTAGTTTTCGGTGGACACAACATCCTCTTTGGTATGTGGTGCTGAGGATCGAACCCGGGCCGCACGCATGCCAGGCGAGCGCGCTACCGCTTGAGCCAAATCCCCAGCCCTCTAACCTCAAATTTTGATCCTCCTTCCTCATCCTCCTGAGTCACAGAGATTATAGGTATATGCTGTTGCACCTGGCTCCCTTCTTTCTACTTTTTAGAACCTTATGTTTGTTTTATGTATAATATCCAGAGTTTTAAATTATACATAAAATTAATGAATAGGGAAAGAGATGTCTATTCTTTTAGAAACAGATCTCTGAAGTATATATTTTTAAAAGGGTAAACTATGATACATTTTGTTGTCGCTTTATTATTATTATTATTTTAAACTTCATAATCTTTTGGCATAAATAATTATTTAGGTAGAGAGAAGGAAATTGCCTTCCAAGAACTCAACTGGTGTGAGATAAAGCTAGATGAATAGGGGTCAGATCATGGTAGGAATTTTTGAGTTTTACTGTAAGTATCCTGAAGACAGACCTTTTCATAGAGTAGAAGGGTGGTGGTACTTGATATCCAGCTTGTATCCTAGACCACTTAAATCATATTCTCAGAGAAAGGATCCAAGCATTAGTAATTTTTAAAGTTCTCTAGGTTATTCCAGTGTATAGTCAAGGTTTAGAGTCACTAGCCTAAGGTAACAGTTATATCATTTGTCTAATTATAAAATCACTTGCCTATTTGAGTCCTTCAAAAAGCAAATGTCAGGAAGGAATTATAAGCCTAAGAGAGTTATTGGTGGAAATGCAAAATGTTCAAGAGGAGTCCTTCAGACTGCAATGCCAGTTTGATGCCTGTGAAAGGAAAAAGGAGGATTGAATGGAAAGAGCCCCAGTCTGTGGCCGCCAGAAAACCTCAACCAGTTTGATGGGGAGACCCTGCACAAAAAGGAATCCCACATTGAGCAGAATTGGCCTGACTCATGTTGGGCACAGTTGTCCTTCCTGTTTGCTCTTCACTTGGGGAGAGTATGGCCTTAAAAGAAGTGGTAGTGCAATAGATCCTAAAGGTGTGGTGCCTGCACACTCAACATAGCATTTCTTTTGAAAGGATAATTAAATTGTATACTTCTGTGCTCATTTTAAAAATTTCATAATTGCAGCTAGTGCTCTGAGATTTCTGATGAATTATATCACYGACTTAGAGCCTCTACTTTAGCAAGTACTGACAGGTGATTCTTATGATCAGGCAAGTTTGTGAAGTACCAGGGGCAATTGCTGAGACTCTACTAAGGACAAAGAAAGGAATTTTCTTCACATTTCAGATTTGTTTTGTGTAGTGGTTGTATAAAGAGTTTTCAGTTAAGGTAGTTAGAATATAATAAATACGGCAGGGGCCTAACTAGTAATTAACTGTAACTGGTCCAAAACTAAAGAAAGAATATGATATAAGATTTGTGTAGACCAAGGGGTTGTGAGGTGGGGAGGGAAGGGGGAATTGATTATGAACAATATCCAAGTGATATTGGCCGAATTATATTGTTATATTGTGTATATGTATGCATATGTAGCAGTAAAACTCATCATTAATGTACTAYTATAATGCACTAATAAAAAAGTRTGAAAAATTAAAATAAAAAAATTGATTCATTGTAAACCTTTCTTTGGGGTGTTTTTCTAGGGATGTTAATTATTACCTATAAGGTTAAAAAACATTTTTATCAGATTTTACATTTGCTACCCATTTGGTGTAATACTATGGGGGTATTTATTATGCTATGTAAAACTACTAAGTTTTGCATGTTTAACTTTCACTACGGTAAGTCCTTTATATGTATCCATGATCAACAACACTGTGAGGTAGATTTTATTGCCAGGATACAGAAGCTTAAAGAGGTTAGGCAATAACTTCACCAAGAGTACATTACTAGTAAGTGGTAACTTTAAATCAAGCCTCAGTTGCAATGCCCATAGGCTTGGTCTGTATGAAACAGAATGCTATGTAGAATTAGGCATTTGTTGATATATGAATGTCATGCATTGTGCTGTTGATGTGGTATCAAAAATTATTGTTTTATCTTCCAAAAAATTTATCTAAAAGAGGTAGAATGAGACACTAGTCTTGGAAATTAATTCTTGTAGTGTTATTTATTGATAAAATAGTTATGGTTTATTTTATTTTGTACAATTTTTGTGACACAAAGGATAATTTCATTTTAAACTACAGGTGTGAAAGAGAAGTTCTGATCACTTGGAATTGGAGTTGGTACTGAAACCATTTCTACTTCAAAAATGTTGGAGGAAGATATGGAAGTGGCCATCAAGATGGTGGTTGTAGGCAATGGAGCAGTTGGAAAATCAAGTATGATTCAGCGATATTGCAAAGGCATTTTTACAAAAGACTACAAGAAAACCATTGGAGTTGACTTTTTAGAGCGACAAATCCAGTATGTAGTTGACTGCTTTATCCCTTTGGTTTTGAGTTGTGAACTATATCCAGGACTTTCATTGTAGTAATAGTAACTAATTATGGTAGTCCAAGGTTAAGTGGCAGTGACTCATGTGACAGTTGATGGCCGTTTTCAGTTATTCATTAGCATATATATCTTTATCCTTGTTTTTCCTTTCATCTTCTTTTCCTCTTTCTCTTGTTTTTTTCATTTTTACTGTGCTCCCTTTCCCCATTTTTTCTTATGTTTTATGTTTATTAGTGATAACTTGAATATTTATTACATAAAATGGTGATAGACTTTAAACAGATTTTTGTTTCCTATTTTATTTAGAAGGAAAGTTACCTGTCTCAAAATAAAGTTTTCATCTCTTACATTACAGGTGTCTTTTGTTTAGAATGTCTCTTCTCTTTTTAAAACTGGGCAATACTACTTAGAAGTTAAGGAAATAATAATTTGGTTTTATTCTAAAGGTATAAGAGAAGACAGATTTGGAAGGATTAAATTTGCCCATGAAAAGGAAAACCTACTTCAGGAAATCCAGTTGAATTTCTAAAACACCTCAGTAATAGTTTTTGTCATCAATCTTGATAACTTTAAAGACTGTTTTAGGTTGTAGGAGACAAAAGAAAATAAGAACATTAAACATCTGATTCATTGGCCTAGATACTAACATCAAGTAAAGATAACTGTGTTTATCATTTTGAAAATATTTTTTTAGTTGTAGATGGACACAGTACCTTTTATTTTTATGTGGTGCTGAGGATCGAAACCAGCATCCTCTGTGTGCAAGGTGAGCACTCTACCACTGAGCTACAACCCCAGCCCTGTGTTTTATTGTTTTAAAGATGATTTTTTAATCTGTTCTGGGATGCTTTTTTGTACTTCCATATTTGCTTGCTTTCTTGGAGCATATTTTAAGAAGGTTCATTTTAAGTCTTGATGGTATATATTTCTTGTACTTATTACCTGAAGCCAAATTAATATTTTAAGTATATAGTTGATCCTCATTATTCGTAGGTTCTTTATTTGCAAATTCATCTACTTGGTAAAATTTACTTGTAATTACAAAGTAAGTATTTGAGTATTTTTGTAGTTATTTGTGGACATGTGCAGAGCAGCATATGGGTTACCCAACATGTACCTTCCTAGCTGAGGTCAAACCAAGGTGTTATTTTTCTTTCTTGTTTCAGTTCTCACACAATGAACACTTGTCTTTTTTGTGTTCCTTATAATGCCATATTTTTCACATTTTATGCTTTTTAAAAGTTTTTATTTTTTTAGTTGTAGATGGACATAATCTTGGATTTATTTATTTACTGCTTTTTTGTTAGTGATATTACTGTTTAAAATGGCCCCTAGGTATAGTACTGAAGTTTGTATTGTATTGAAGGTATGATGTGCCTCATGGAGAAAAATACTTGTGTTAGGCAAGCTTTGTTCAGACATAGATAAGAGTGTTATTGGTCTATAGTGCTTGCTATTGGATATTAATTGAACATTAATGAATTAACAATTATATTAATAAGTATCTGTACTTAAAAACACATATAAAATAAGGTGATGAAATGTAACTAGGGGTTCTCAGGAACCTAACCCTCTAATTCCCCTAGGAGTGGTGTGGTTCAGTGCTTATTTGGTGTTCAAAGTGATATTATGGGACTGGAGTTGTATCTTAGTGGTAGAGCACTTGCCTAACAAGTGAGAGGCCTTATGTTTGATTTCCCAGCACTACATACACACACACASAGACAAATATATATATAGTGATATTTTAGATCATAGCTCCTATAAATAATGAGAATTAACAATATGACAAAGTAGAGAAAATTTTTTAGTTGGAGGGTAACAAGCAGGTAAGCTGCTTTCTCTTATTCTCATTCTATCACTAGGGCATCAGAACCCATTAAAATGGTGTAGTGAGAGAAGAATAAACACTGGCCTAAGGGAATTCCCCTTTGCCAATACTTCCTAATCTCAGAGCCACTACCATTCATGACTATTGTTGAAGGAGAAAAGTGGCAGATAAATCCAAATCATATGTAAAGCTATATAGCTTTGCTTTTACTATTGGGAATAGTATCAACATTTAAAAATACTGAACTCATAGACTTTTTCAGAGTGAAACTGACAATGTAGTTTTAATACTTTTGGATGTGAAAAATAAAAATGTACACAAAGCTAAGTTTCAAAAAATATTTTCATTCATATGGAATAAATTCATCTCTCCTTTCAGAGTTAATGATGAAGATGTTAGACTAATGTTATGGGATACTGCAGGTCAAGAGGAATTTGATGCAATAACCAAAGCCTACTATCGAGGTAAAATGTGAGACTTATATTTTTTGCTTGGTGTGTTCTTTAAAAAATAAATATCTATATCTATATCTATATGTATGTATGTATGTATATGTTTTTAAAATATTTGTTTTAGTTGTATGTGGACACAATAACCTTTATTTTTATGTGGTGCTGAGAATCGAAGCCATGTCTCACGTGTGCTAGGTAAGCACTCTACCGCTGAGACACAAGCCCAGCCCCATACACACACACACACACACACACACACACACACACACACATATTTAATTGTAGTTGGACACAATACCTTTATTTTATTTATTTATTTTTATATGGTGCTAAGGATTGAACTCAGCTCCTCACATATTCTAGGCAAACACTCTACTGCTGAGCAACAACCCCAACCCCTTGGGTGTGTTCTTTTGGCTGAATAAAAAACTTTGCTCTTCATGTTTCCCACATAAGGATTTCTCTTTAATATCTGTTTATTTATTTATTTAGTTAGTTAGTTAGTTTTCAGCAGACACAACATCTTTGTTTGTATGTGGTGCTGAGGATCGAACCCGGGCCGCACGCATGCCAGGCGAGCGCGCTACCGCTTGAGCCACATCCCCAGCCCCAGGATTTCTCTTTAAGAATAGTTAAAATAGAGCTGGGAACACAGCTCAATGGTAGAGTGCTTGTCTAACATACACAAAGCACTGGGTTTGATTCTCGGCACCACACACACACACACACACACACACACACAAATAAATAAATAAAAAGAATAGCTAAAATAATTTCAAAGTATTTCTTAAAAATCCCAGTTCATTATTCTTTTTTTTCTTACATACATGACAATAGTGGAATGCATTACATTCATAATTTTTTTGCATTCCAATTCTTAATACACCTTTATACCACAATTTATCAAATCTGTATATATGGTTTGTTGACACCAAATTCACATCTTCATACATGAATTTAGTATAATGATGACTGACTCCTTCCACTATCCTTGCTGTTCCCCTTCTTCCTCCCTTTCCCTCCCACCCCTATTCCCTACATCTAGAGGTAATTTTTACCCATGCTCTTCCTCCCTACCCCACTTTGAGTCACCCCCCTTATATCAGAAAAAACATTCGGCATTTGTTTTTTTGGGATTGGCTAACTTCACTTAGCATGATCTTCTCTAATGCCATCAATTTCCCTGCAAATGCCATGATCTTATTCTTTTTTAGTGCAGAGTAATATTCCATTGTGTATAAATGCCATATATTTTTTTATCCATTCATCCACTGAAGGACATCTAGGTTGGCTCCACAGTTTAGCTATTGTGCCAGTTCATTATTCTTCTAAAGATCTTGTGGAGTGTCAAATAACACTTCATACTATAGATAGCTTATTTCTGTCTTAGAATTATGTGACTCATATAGATAAATCCAACTGAATCAAGACAGAAACTATTAAATGTCTACCCTGACACACAAAGAAATTACTGTACTTTCAGAGTGAAAACTTAACATATAAAAAGTAAAGCCTCTGAAAATAAGATGGCATTTTGCTTAATTAAAAGTAAATGACACGGTAATTCCTATTAGTGCAATGCTAAAGAATAGTTCAGGGAAGTGTTAAGTATACGTGGAGAGGAAGGAGCCACAACAAGAGAATTTAAGGTTTTAAAATATGAGCTTAAATTCCTAAAGAGAGTTTCAATTGAACTTATAAATGGAGCTTAGTGTCCTTTAATATTTCCTATAAAATTTTGTCTTTTTGGAATTTTTAAATTTGCATTTTCACTTTTTCAGTACTGCCAATTGAACCCAGGGCCTTGGGCATGCTAGACAAGTGCTCTACCACTGAGTTGCATCCCTAGCCATTTCTTTTTTTCATTTGAGACAAGGTCTTTGTAAGTTTTTCAGGTTAGCCTCAAGCTTGTGGTCCTCCTGCCTCAGCCTCCAGAGTAGCTGGGACTAAGATATGTGCTACCATACTTAGCCCTTTTCTTTCGGAATTTAAAAGGACATTTTCAGTGTTCTTCCAACTCACTACCAATGGTTTCTGAAATGAAAAACAATAACTGAAAGCTTGATCTAGTATCATATAACATGATTTTTTTTTTTTTTTAGTTAGGACACAATACCTTTATTTTATTTATTTATTTTATGTGGTGCTGAGGATCGAACCCAGAGCCTTGCATGTGCAAGGCGAGCGCTCTGCTACTAGAGCCACAACCCCAGCCCCAAGCATGATCTTTTGATGCTTAATAAGGATTTGGTAATTCATATCAATAGTTGTTTAATACTCTGCATTTCCCAGATGCTGTTGAAGAGGTAAAGGGACAGTGACACATGAAACTGAGCGCTATAAACATTCACAAAAGTGTGCCAGATGTGGTTTGCCTGTAATCCTATCAACTCAAGAGGCTGAAATAGGAGGATCCTGATTTCAAAGCCAGCCTCAGCAACGGCAAGGCGCTAAGCAACTCAGTGAGACCCTGTCTCTAAATAAAATACAAAATAGGGCTGGGGATGTGGCTCAGCGGTTGAGTGCCCCTGAGTTCAATCCCTGGTACCCCCCTCCCCCCAGAAAGTGTGATATATACATGTGAGAGGAAGAAATCATGACAACATTTGCATAGCCCATGTTGGCTCAAGTGTATGCTTAAATTCATAAAGAAAGGTTCAGTTAAACGTACTGATTTCCCTTTCTTCTAATGACATTTCCTCTTTGCCTAACCTTCTTGTTCTAACTAAAATTTGATTCATTTCCTAAAAATGCTGTTATCCCTTCTACCTTCTCTAGTGGAAGTTGTCTTCTTGCTCACATCCCCACATCTTCATGTTTTTCAAAACTTGATGGATGTTGTTGCAGGAGTGTCTTTCTTTCTCATTTCTGTTTCCAAACCATTTCTCTTCTTTTTGAAACCTTAGTATCTTGAAATTCAGTCATGAGAGTTTTACCTACCTCCCTGGTTACCATGGTTTATCAACTTCATGTCTCCTTCCTGGTAACAGTGGTATCTGGATCATTTTTTTCCTTTAGAATTGTTCAGTTTATTTTTTGTTTGTGGTGCCGGGGATTGAATCCAGGACTAGGCTTACACCTCTACCTATTATTACTTTTTGAAAATTCAGTTTATTACTCATTTCCTTGCCCTTCACAAGATCAATGATCTTTTTATTACTTCTAAAATTTAAACCTCTATAAAGTCTCCCACTTGATGATTACAAGTTCTTATGATTCTAGCTTGCTAACTTTAATATCCATATTCTATTAACTATCCTTGAACTTGTTGAGAGCTTCTGTTCACTGACCTTACTACTCTTTTTACTATAACTTTTCACATGATTTTACTTCTTTCCTTTCTCAACTTAGTTTTTCTCATTCTGTAAACATTTGCTTTAACTCCCTGCACTGCACTCCCTGTATAATTCTTGTTCTGTAAAATGTTCAACCCAGTTCAACCCCACTATCTACCAGTCTGTATCCAAGCACTGAACCTTATTCATGAATATCAGGACCATTTTGACTGAACTTTGAAGTTATGATCACATAGCTTTAATGAATATTCAGTGTCCACATACTAATGCCATCAAACAACAAAGTCCCTGTTGTTATCCAAAAGAGATGTTTATTTTATGCCTTCTCTTGCCTTTAATCTTTAGGATCCCTTTTTTTTCCATTCTCAGATGACTTCCTTGCTTCATATTTGAGAAATTAAATGCAGTCAAATGAAAATTATCTTATTCTTGTCATTGTCAAATCATGTCCTTTGGTTAAACTCCTAGTAACCTCTTGTTTGAGAAAATAGTTCAGGCATTTTAGCATGGTGTAAGAAGACTTTATAGTTGTGTTTCTCTTTGTGTATCTAGCCTCATCTCCTGCTGATTCCTCATATGCACTTAACTCCTGTGAAATCTCCAGATTATTTTTTCACAGTGCCTGAAATTCTTTCTTGTCACTTTTGACCTTCTACCTTAAAGTGTGAACAGCTCAGAAATCTATGAAACCTTTTATGGCCCCCACACCTGAAAAGATTAATCAGTTTCTTTTGAGCTACTTCTTTATGATTATTGAATTTATCATTATATAGTGTTTGCATGTTTATCCCTAACAGACTGAGTTACTTGAGATTCTAGCTAATGGAGCTGCAGAGTTGTAGGGTTTATTTTGTTTTGGTTTTTGTCCTTTTTTCCTCAGCTCATTTGCATAGCCCATGTTGGCTCAGGTGAATTCAGTTGCTCTTAAGAGGCCAATTCATTTGGTTAATTTTTTTAATTGTATAAAAATTTTGGGGGCTGGGAATGTGGCTCAAGCGGTAGCGCGCTCGCCTGGCATGCGTGCGGCCTGGGTTCGATCCTCAGCACCACATACAAACAAAGATGTTGTGTCCGCCGAAAACTAAAACATAAGTATTAAGAAAACACTCTCTTTCTCTCTCTCTCTCTCTCTCTCTCTCTCTTAAAAAAAATTTTTTTTTTTTACCTAACAGATATTTCGTTATGACTTTAAGCTACAGGCAAAATAGTATATGTACACATTTGTAAATATAAATTATTTCACTTAAAAATATTTGCTCTCTCACTAGAAGCCCCAAGAAAGGAGGATAATATATGTTTTATTATTGGCTCTATGCCTGTTACTCAAGATTTAAGTTTCCTTTAGCAAATGTGTATTGAGTATGTAGTGTCTTGTGTGTTCTAGGTAGATTGTAGGCATTGTAATCTAATCCTGCTTCCTTGTTTTGTCTTGTATTTATATTCATCTAGTAACATTTCTTGGAAATACATCCAAAAAGTTTTCCTTAAAGATAATCCTTTTTTCACATCTTTTTTTTTTTTTTTTTTTTTAAGAGAGAGAGAGAGAGAGAGAATTTTTTAATATTTAGTTTTTAGTTTTTCGGCGGGCATAACATCTTTCTTTGTATGTGGTGCTGAGGATCGAACCCGGGCCGCACGCATGCCAGGCAAGCGCGCTACCGCTTGAGCCACATCCCCAGCCCCCTTTTTTCACATCTTAAATTTGTTTTTCTGTTT